CGACACTGAGATACATGTGATCTCAGCCCACAAGTGGCTGCTTAGAAAATATAGGAACAGTGTGTCAGAACTCCAAAAAGAAAGAAACATACTAGCAGTAGGATAACCACATAAGAATATGTACTTAAGACACTTATGGAGAGGTAGGTAGATGGATAAAACAGACACCTGCAGAGAATAAAGAAATAAGTAGTAGTATAGGACATGGTTTTCAATGCTTTTGAATACAGATGAAATCAGAGCAGGGGTGCAATTATCAGAGCAATTATTTGGGCCTGGGGGCCACATAGAAAGTTGCAGGATGGAACGCAGTGAGTGGGGAGTGGCAAAATAGGAAGTGGTGTTTGGGAATCAGATGGGCAGGATCACAGGACAGTGACAGTGCAGGGCCAGGGCCCTGGGCAGAGCTGTCATTTGCAGCCTGCACCCCCACCCCCCAGATGAGCACAGGTTCTGTAGGCAGAGGCATGCAGGGAGCAGATTACAGCTCTGCCCCAGCCCTGGCCCCATGCTGTCACCACCATAACATCACTGAATTAAAGGGTATTTAGGAAAACCAAGCTACAAAGAGCTTCAGCAACACAGACACCTTGAACAGATTTACATCTTAAGGTAGGACAGACGATTAGGTTTTTGCAAATGCATTTGAAAGTGGTTGAACACCTGCTTTCCAAATCTCCATTCTATGCAAGACTTAGCTCTTCCAAAATGAGAGCTGTTAACCAACCACATTACTACTATGAAAAAAATCACGATCACCAAGACGCGTGGATCTTCAGTCACAGGTAAATCTTTTTAACTGGCATTTAAAAATAAATACGACTGACTTTCTGAAGACTTTTGGCTGTTCTAGATAGTCATAAGGACTGTTCATTCTTGACTTAATAAGAAAGCATAAAAGTCCTTCATCACTTTCATAAGGAGTTTACACGTGAATTGTATCGCTTCATCCTTAAAAAGGGCACAAGGTAAATCAAAGAACATTTTGAAATAGCACGCTCAAAAACATCACAACTTTGTCAAAAGGATCTTCCCTGCACAAAAATCTTGAGCTCACTAGTATAAGGCATCTTAAATATTTATCTGGAGCATTGTGTCTAGTTTTGGGCTCTCCACTACAGAAAGGGTGTGGACAAGCTGTAGAGAGTCCTGTGGAGGGCAACAAAAATAGCTAAGGGGCTGGGGCACGACTTCTGCAGAGAGGCTGAGGAAACTGGGCTTATTTACTCTGCAGAAGGGAAGACTGAGGGGGGATTTAATAGCAGCCTTCAACTACCTGAAGGGTGGTTCCAAAGAGGATGGAGCTAGACTGTTCTCAGTGGTGGCAGATGACAGAACAAGGAGCAACGGCCTCAAACTATAGCAAGGGAAGTTTAAGTTGGGTATTAGAAGAAACTGTCCATCTCACTAAGAGGGTGGTGAAGCACTGGAACAGGTTACCCAGAGAGGTGATGGAGTCTCTCCATCCTTGGAGGTTTTTAAGGCCCAGCTAGACAAAGCCTTGCCTGGAATGATCTAGTTGGGGATGGTCCTGCTTTGAGCAGGGGGTGGACTAGATGATCTCCTGAGGTCCCTTCCAACCCTAATTTTCTATGATTCTATGAAAACAAGCTTTCAGCAGCAGTGTGTTACCACCCTGTGGTGGAGGATGCAAATATTGGTGGCAGTGAAGCCAAAAACCGGAACCTGACAAGAGCATGCACAGAAACTAACTTATTTTCACATATCTGATAGGACAGGGTAAACACTAAATGAAGTTTTTTGTCCTAAAGCAAGACCCAGACAAGCAGGAAGGTTTGCACATCATATTTTAAAGAGTGTTTTTGCTTTTTTCAAAGCAGCAAAACCCATCTACCCAAGTCTCCCTGCCACAGTTCCAAGGAAACTGAAACAACCTAATTTTAATCAATCACCAATTTCATGACTCAGTTTTCTTATGAGCTAGATGATAGGTAGAAATATACTGGCCTAGAATAGAAAACAGTGGCCTGCTATACTGATATAATAAGACTTGTTATATTTTACCTGGCTCTCAAATATTCCACAACTGCATAATCTGTCATGAATTCCACCACTTCATTAAGTGTTGTGTTCCAGAACCCCAGCTCATCCAGGTTCTAGACCGCAATGACTGCAAAGATGCTTCTCTCTGAAAACACGAATAGGGAATCAAAATATATGCAATGACAACTCTGCAGACAACCTGAAACAGGCAAGAGATGCAAATGGCACATATGTAAGTGTGAAACCTGAAAAGCAACAACTTAAATGTCAATATTGCTTACTATTACATTACCATTTCTAATACATACAACTACTGTCCTCATCTCCAACCTTGCCCAACTGCTTGCATTTTTGAGCTTCTTCAAAAAAAAAAAACAAAAACCAAAAACAAAAACAAAAAAACAAAACAAAACAAAAAAACCCCCAGACGATATGCTCCCATACAAAAAGCTCTGATTAGCAGAAAGGCTGTGGAGAGGTTTAAATTAGACTACCAAGAGAAACAGAAACTCTTTACCAACTATAATTCAATTTGGTGAGATGAATATTAAAAACCAGCCCCCCTCCCCCCAGTCCAGCAAAGCAGCACAAAACTTCAAAAACACTGCACCAGTGTTTCAAAACACTGGAATCTTATCAGAAAATGTAGGAACAGGTTACTATAAGGATTGGGAAGTTTACGTTTATACAGCTTATGAATGCTGTTTGCTAGTATGTTGTTTATGCTCTCTCAGCTGTATTTTACTGCATTTTTGCATTATATCTTCTGTGCCAAGAATGGAGTACCAATTGGGTGTCTAACCCTGATTAAGGCAGCTGTTAAGGAACACCAACCACTGAATAACACGGCTCTGACACAGCAGTAGTATAATATACATTAGGCAAAAACAGTTTTCTCCAGTGTGCAGCAAAAAAGGGGGAGAATTAGAGGGCTGGACCATCAGAAGAAGGAACGAAGTGAAAGCACTGACTTAAGATACAGAGTCTAGGAGCCTGAAAGAGACAGGGACAGAGGCTAGGAGCTGGAGAGGGTTTTTTGACTGTCAAAGCAACTGAAGGTAGAGAGAGCTTCCTGGAGAGAATTCATTACTAGAAGAGACATTAATAAATAAATATCAGTCAAAGGAACAAGATCCAAGGGACCTGTACACTTGAGGATCCCCCAAAACACACACAGCTCTCCAAGCAGAGAGGACACAGAGGTTCTGCGCAGGTTCCAGCACAGATAGCTAAGCCAATGCTTTCTCCAGGACTAATGTGCATGTTTAATGAGTTACTTTGCACAGTTTCAAAGATTTTGGTGTCAACAGTTACCTTGTCCCCAAGAGGTTAAATGGCAAATCACATGACAACGTGGAATGCTAGAAAGAGTACATGAAAGGAGAATTGAGGCTATACTGTAGGGTCCTACTTCCCAGAAAGGGTACAAAGCAGAGCATCTATATCATGGAAGTAATCTTAGCAAGCTGAAAGAGTGCATCTACCCAGATTCACAAGAGCTTAGAAGCATACAGATCTAGTGTCTGGACCTAGCAGTACAACATATATTTGGTAATACCAACTCCAACAGACGGCATCTGTTTTCACTGATATGGGATTGGGTCTCATGTTCTTTTCTTTGTAGTGCCTGTGAAAACAGGGATCCTGTTCACAGCAGAAGCTTCTTGTTTAGCCAAGTGGTAAAAAAGTCTACTGCACAGTCTACATCAGTTATGAAGTTTTGCCACTAACCAGCACAGTCTACAAACTACCAAGCATTTCCTGCAAAACACTGCTCCCCCTCCCCTCCTCAACTTTCCTGTTCTTCATTGCTTGAGGAACATAGTAACAACTGGACCAATCTGGACATCAGTGCTTTGACATATTCACCATAATCCTCACCTCATAAATACCTGTGTATACAAAATGTTCATAAGGAGGAAAAAGCAAATATGGGTGCAAAATCCCTTCAACTGAGTCCATAATTCAACTATGACTGAAGCTAAGCTTTGCAGTAACTTTAAGACGTTCAGGCCTAATTTCAGTTATTGCTTTCTGCAAGTTGGCAAACAAAGCGGAAGTTTACCAGGTTGGCTAGATTGGAGCACATGGCTTGTAACCATTAATCGACTGTAACCTTACTGAAAAGGTATCCAGGAATTGCTGGGAACAGAACAATCTTTTATATCTTGTCAGATTTTTAAATTCTTAACAGTGCAAGGAAACAGGATAGCCTTAAGTAAGTTAACAGACTATGAATCAAGAAATCTGGGTGCTATTCCTGGCAGTGATACTCATTTGTTATGCAATCTTAAGCAAGTCAGATCACCTCCCTCGATTTCTTCATCTATAAAGTGTGACTAATAATACTTTAAAAAAAAGATTTGAAACATACGGATGAAAAGCACTGTAAAAATTAATGTTAAGACATTATGGCTACTCAGCAGCTAAGAAAAAAAGTTAGCAGTGACTTGTAAATTCTAGGTGCCCCTTCCCCCAACTCCCTCTCCTTTTATGGATACAAAGTTATACTACGGATGAATGCTTGCAGCAGTTAATAGCTGCTGATTCATTATGTTATGCTGACACGGCATGAATAAGCATTTTACTATTTTTTGTTCATCTTTAAAACAAAAACATTTTTCAAAGGACCCAGAATGACTGCTTTAAGAAAGTTGGTAAGCCTTTTGTTCATAATATTTTTCCCCCCAACAATGACATTATTTTACTTTCCCTCCACATAAATAGAACGAAAGAAACAACAGCACATGCCATTTAAAATATAAACCATATTCTTCAAGTCATTAGTATCAGCACCTAGCACTTTTCTAATAATGTTTATACTTTGTTAACTATTTATTGGGTCTCATCCCTATGGCAGGAGTCTACTTATGGGATTTGGAGCTTTGTCAAATGAAGAGTTAGTAGGATTTAGCATTAACCACCAAAAAACCCTCCACAAAATTGGTTGAAAAAGAAAAATTACAAGATTTTAAAAATAAATTGAGGTTTTTAAACCTTAATGACTCCTCTACAAAGGTATAATGGGATCTAATGCACAACCCACACAACTGTGCCTCCTGCCATGCCACACATGTGAGAACACTAATCAGAGCCCATCACACCTTACTGCTGGTGCAGTGGGGGCCTGATCCCAGGATCTCTCTACACCAGCAAGAAGCAAGCTCCCATGACTGGGAGCCCTCTTACCTGACAGGACTCTGAGCAAGGGGGTGCCCCATGCATCCGGGAAACTACAGCAGATGCGACCTCCTAGCTGCAGGGGTGTGGAACACTGCTGAGGCAGAGAAACTGCAGTCTCCCAGCTGTGCATCTTTGGGGGGGGGGGGGGGGGGGGGGGGCCCGG